GAATACAAAGGCTAACGATTCCAGTTCTCAAACCAGCGACACGAACACTTCAGCTCGAAATATATCCCCTTCAAATTGCTTTGTTCCCGGTTAAACTTCGCCAGCGTATAGAATAAACACCCATCTTCCAACATACAATGCAATATTAACACGTCCTATAATTTTTGCAACAGATTTTTAGCGAAATGTTTCGAGACTAAAATTCTACGGAACTTAGAAAGACCGATAATTACTACGTCGCCTGCTTGGCCACCTAGCCTCCTTTACCGTTTGGATTGTCAGGGGGGGGGGGATTCAAATAGCACCTTTGAAATCCGATATTGTAATTTGCAAAACTCTTTCGATCGTACACAGCAACAACGCCAGCAAATCAATGCCGCGATAGTGACTGTTTACAATATTTGAAATTTGATATTGTAATTTCCAAAACTTTTTCGATGAATCAATCGTACATCGAAAGAGTTTTGCAAATTTAATACAATATCAGATTTGAAATATTGTAAACAGTCGGTATCGCGGCGTTGATTGGCTGGCTGTTACCGGAAATAGTGAATCCCCCCCCCCTGACAATCCAAACGGTAAAGGAGGCTAGGGGGCCAAGCAGGCGCCGTAGTAATTATCGGTCTTTCTAAGTTCCGTAGAATTTTAGTCTCGAAACATTTCGCTAAAAATCTGTTGCAAAAATTATAGGACGTGTTAATATTGCATTGTATGTTGGAAGATGGGTGTTTATTCTATACGCTGGCGAAGTTTAACCGGGAACAAAGCAATTTGAAGTGGATATATTTCGAGCTGAAGTGTTCGTGTCGCTGGTTTGAGTTAACTGGAATCGTTAGCCTTTGTATTCAATACTATCACCTATGAAGACAGTCGCAGGCATCGAATGTAAAGTCGCTCAGAAATAAAAGACGATCACATACAATCAAAGTAGGCAAGTAAATATGATTTTAAAATATAAAATTCATTACAAATTTTATTGTTTAGTATATTCTATAATGATATATTTACTATACACCAATACACGTCTGGGCCGCCTGTGGGGATACTGCTAGGGATTGTGGCGCACTAAATTTACTGTTTTCATAGATTTTTTGTCCAAGCAATTAAGTTATAAAGAACAGAATAATAGTGTTGCCACATTCATGTAGTTCTATAGGCAAATGGTTGATTTGTCAAATATCTAGCTATTATGGATTGTTTCATTATAAACACTGGAATGCTCATACTGGATGGTTGTACAATAAGCAAAATTTGCCTTAGTAAAGTAAGCCAGTATCTAGGCTGGCTTGCATTACATATAAACATCCCCTATAATCCTACTATAGTTGGAAAAAATTAAGAAGTAAATTTCCCTTCAATATATGCAATTTGTAGTTATAGTTGTATATATAGGCACAAAAATGGCTGAAATAGATTAAAATTCAATAAAATGTCATTGTGTTGACATGAAAATATTCTACCAACTGTTTTTGTAGCCATAGGTGTTAATTTAAACCATGCAATTAATGCTCAATATATCTTACATAGTGACATACAAGTCTATGCCACTACACCACTGCAAATCTGCATTCATAGTTCATACGATTGAGCATCTCATGGTTTAAATTAACACCTATGGCTACAAAAACAGAATATTTTCATGTCAACACAATGAGATTGTATTGAATTTTAAACTATTTCGGCCATTTTTGTGCCTATATATACAACTAACTACAAATTGCATATACTGAAGGGAAATATATTTCATTCTAGATTTGTTTTACTTCTTAATTTTTTCCAACTATTGTAGGATTATAGGGGATGTTTTATATGTAATGCAAGGCAGCCTAGATACTGGCTTACTAAATTTACTAAGGGCCTGTTTATATGGAAGCCGGGCTGGCCCGCTAAGCGAGACAGCCCGGTAAACGAGATCTCGCTGTGTAGTTATTTTTACAGTAAAAATTATTGTGCGTTTATATGGACTCGCTTGAAAGAGGCGAGATCTCGCTTACCGGGATGGAAATTTCTCCATATAAACACTCACAAGCAGGCTAGGCTGGTTGCCGGGATGAAAGTTCAAAGATATCGCCGCAAGCTATTTTTAACAACTGTCAAAACAATACAACGCAACAAAATTGTCGTGGCAAGCGGGATGAAATTTTCTCCTATAAACACGAGAGAAATTCATCCCGCTTACCGGGCTGCCTTGCTAAGCGGGCCAGCCCGGCTTCCATATAAACAGACCCTAAGGCAAATTTTGCTTATTGTACAACCATCCAGTATGAGCATTCCAGTATTTATAATGAAACAACCCATAATTGATATTTGACAAATCAACCATTTGCCTATAACTACATGAATGTGGCAACACTATTATTCTGTTCTTTATAACTTAATTGCTTGGACAAAAAATCTATGAAAACAGTAAATTTAGTGCGCCACAATCCCTAGCAGTATCCCTAGCAGTATTCCTAGCAATATCCCTATCCCAGTGGTTCTGCATCATCAGTTCACAATTTTATTTTTTAAGTCCACAACAGGTGGGTTTCACTTAAAATTATCCCTTTCAAAAGCATTGTTTATATTCGCATAAATTATATATTATTTAATTACTATTTTCCATATTTCACGCTGACAATACGTCAGACTCCGTGTTTTCCATATGACTCCGTGTTTTCCATATTTTTCTCTGACGTCAGACTCCGTGTTTTCCATATGACTCCGTGTTTTCCATATGACTCCGTGTTTTCCATATTTTTATGACGTCAGACTCCGTGTTTTCCATATGACTCCGTGTTTTCCATATTTTTATGACGTCAGACTCCGTGTTTTCCATATGACTCCGTGTTTTCCATATTTTTCTCTGACGTCAGACTCCGTGTTTTCCATATGACTCCATGTTTTCCATATTTTTATGACGTCAGACTCCGGGACTCCGACTCGGGGACTCCGACTCCGGGGCTTCGACTCCGGAACTCCGACTCCGTGTTTTCCATCTATCCATTGAAACTTGCAGTTTTTCACACCCTCTCTGCAACAAATTGTGATCACGAGGTTCAGAAATATTTAATTACGAAGTACGTGTGAATACATGGCGTGGTGTCTCTTACCTTAGCGTGCAGCCAGCCAAAAAAAGTGGAGATGTCGCGGTCTACTGATTTCAATAATATTCATACCTCTTTGTCGCGTTACGTGTGTGGGATATCCGTGAATTTTATACACAAGGCGTGTTTGTATCTTTGAAAGAAAGATGCTAGTTTTCTTTAATGTTACGCAGTTCAAATGAAAAAGTATACGTATGTTGTTAACTATAGTTCTTAATATGCTTTTTTTCAGAATGTTTTTCATCTATTGACGCTTAGCATTGGTCTTTTAAATGTTTAAAAATCTTCCACTTGCAAAACAGTGACATAAATACTTAGTAAACTTATACAGTGTGTATCGAAATAAAAGTAATCGAACTTCACAAACTCACAAGTAGTATTTTTCAAGTCATTCTTGGGCGTTCGCAACACTCGTTCGCAACACTCGTTCGCAACAACGTCCGAGGCGAAATGTCGCCAAAGGAATCCATTTGAACGCTCATTTCGTTAAAAAGTTATTATTTTACATAAAAATCAAGTCAAAAATTCAGTTTTCTTTATGTGCTTTATACTAAAACAATACACCCTTTCGATATTTACGTCACAAATACTTTTGGTCCTGGAGCCTCAGTCCCTCTCATTTGTAAATTGCGCAATGTGATTGGCTCACGATTCATGAGAGCGAGGTTCCCAGGCCAAATGACGTAATTATCGAAAGGGTTTATTAGACAACTCGGCTTCGTTGTCTAATTGTTACTTAATAGTTTACATAGAAATGTTCGAGACAATTGCAGTTTTAACTTACGTTTATATAGCGAACCGTCCACTGGCAAAGTTTCCCTGGCTTTTTTAAATCACATTATATAATGCTAACAGCTTGAAAATTGCACTCAACTATGTAAGTTTTGTTAGTTTTGTTAGTTTTGTTTAAGGTATTAAGCTAAAAGCTTTTCCATTTAGAAAAAAAAAGATAAAAGCCATAACGTCAACTTTTACTTTATGTAGCGCGGTCCCATGTTTGTTTTGTTTTGAAGCAATCTGTGACCGCTTTAAACTGATTGGTTGATCACTTTTATCATCACATGTGTTTTTCCACCAATTAGTTCAGTTTGTTACAGATTTTTGCACTGTGATTACAGAAAATTGCACTGTGACTACAGAAAAATGCACTGCTGTTTGGGATTAACGGCACTGAAATCAACCAATCACAGTCGAGTGATATTTTTATGTATATTATTATGCATAAAACAACACTATTATAGGGAAACTTTTGGAACCGATTTTAACAAATACAAGTTCAACAAATACATTTTTGGTACTATGATCTTAGATAATCACATTATAATTTATAGCTTTACCTGTCGAATTACATTCTACTCCGACATCCTCCCTATGCCCGCAATTATGAACTCCCCAACCTGGATGAGAACAATTGGCCAAACTTTGTTCACTCCCATTGCAATTGACATCATCTAACCATATTTGTCCACTTCCGCCGGAAACCTGACCTCCATGAAGAGCGTTAGCATACATGTATTTATAGCCAAGTTCACGACATACAACTCTAGCATCTTTTAAATCCCAACCATCATCACAAATTGTTCCCCATTGTCCACTGTGGAATACTTCCAAACGACCAGTACCATGTGCACTCAATGGTCCTTGTAACCGGACGGCCACGGATTTTTCTGTAAAATTGAAACAAATATCTGAGCGAAAGACAGAAATTGATCCGGTTGTTCAAAAATTGGGATTAGCCCTAACTCTAGCTCCAAAGGTCTGAAGGGTATACAAGATTTACCCATCGAAGCAGCCTGGAGCCAGAATTCGTATCCTCCGAAGCGCGAAGCGCTGAGGGGGGATACGAATTCTGGCTCCAGGCTGAGAGGGGTAAATCTTGCATACCCCAACAAACCTTTGGAACAAGGATTTTGTTTATCACCTCACAGTGACAGAACCAAAACTTCATCAACCAGTCGTCCAGCTTCTCGCCACTGAAAGTAATCCATTTTTCGTAGTTTTCTATGTGGCAAGCCTTCAAATACGCCTCAATCTTTCTCTTTAATTGTATTGTTCTCACTTTTTATGGTGTTTTTGTTAAGCAAATCTTGTCTTTTCTGTGCTTATTCTTTGTCAGAAATTATATTTACACAGAGATTGTTTGACGCCATTTTGAATAAATGTCTGCGAAACAAAGTAGTATCCTTTTGGAGCTATGGTAGCCAATGAACGTCATTCCGAAGTTGTATAGTTTTGCAGCGCACAAAAATACGAAATTTATTAATTCTGTTTTATATATCTAATCGAAGTTCTCTATCACTGTGAGGTGATAGACAAAAACGCGTAGCAAGTAAGTGGAAAATCCCACGCAACCTGAACGACCAAAAGAATATACCCAAAGCACGCCTGTTCGCAGTTAAGGTTGGGCATAGCTCTGGAGAAGTTGAATTTTCAACATGAGATATACATATGCTCAGTCGTGCTTTAATCCGCAACTCTAATCCCAACCTCGTACCCAGGGCCTGCCCGCCCGATTTTTTAATATGGCCGCCAAAGCGGGCGAGGCCCTGGTAAACGCTGGTCACATGTCAGGCAAATACTCCAAGATTCTTGGAGTATTAGCCTGCGAGAGGGCTTTATGGAAATAAAGACAGGGGGCGACGAAAATTTCACGAATATAACTTGAATTGCCGCAGAATATTTATATTCTTTTATTTTTTGTTGTAATCTTTCTTTTTAATATGTTACGTTTATATGTACGTCGAATGTACATCAATCTTCTTTTATATCGCATCATATAAATTGCCGAGGAGGCGATGTTTCGAATTTCGAAGGAAAATATTGGAGCCATGCAACCTCGTACATACCAATTTGTGATGATTTCCATCAAGTAAAAGATACAGTATGAATTTGAAAATGTTTAGAAGTATTTCATTGTTACAGATTATTTAGCAGATTCCCATTATTTGTTACACTGACTAGCTCTATGAAATATATATTTCGAAGGCTATTTATTATATTTTATACAGTATGTTAATTAATATAGTTAGCTGAATTTGTAGTTTAAATATTGAGAAACACATTGGCAGACTATGGCCTATAATACTAGACTCAGACTCTCAGTAAATTCTACTCTCACATGATTATTATTTAAAATATTGATTTATCGCTGCGAGAAACGTGTTTACACTTACAGTATTATTAAACTACAGTTTACAGCAGCATTAACGTCAAATACTTTGTTTTCACATTTACATTTAATGACCTGAAATTATTTAAATGAGCCATTACTGTAATAACAGAGTGGCCATGAGGGTGACAAAGCTAAAATCTGGTCAACCTAACCTGCTAGGATATTTCATTTATTCAGCATCATTTATTAATGTTTGTGAGTTAATGAGTATTTTTAATATCCATGACAACTCCTGCTGGTCAGGGATTTTTAGGGAAAAGGTTCAGCACCCCATCGTAAAACTTGCCCCTGAATCTCAAAATTTCATTATTTTGTTCCCTTGCACCTACATTTATACCTTTTGTGCCCATGAGATCTTTAAAAAAATGCCTAACTCTGCAGTGTGACATGTAACCTTGTTGCCATAATTATTTTCTGAAGGCTTCAATAAATTTCTACTCTAACACCTGACAGAGATGGGGGCCATATGTATGAACAAGAAGAAATGATTTCTTCATCTATTGACCTCTTTCACCAAATTTTAAAATTAAATTTACTGAATGATTTTGAAGTTTTCTAGATTATTGAAACGAACTTTATGGGTACAAGAAATGGGGCAAAAACAGTTGAATTAAGCAAGATGCAAGTAATAATGAACAAGACCGGGTCACTGGATGGTATTTCAGCACACTGGTGGACATGCAACCTAATATCTGCATATTTTTACACTGTAGTGGAGAAATAATGTCAAGGAATTTGTAGAGATTCACAATGAACACTCCACATGGTTTATTCAATCACCAACATGCATGAATCATTTGATGTTATGAATATTTTTTAAAAATTATTCTCACTTTGGATAATTATATATCAATTTTCAATATCATAAATGAATATAATTATAGTTTCTGTAGCTTTTGATTATACAAGTTATAATAATATATCAGCAAATAATGACTGGTCTCTCTGAAATCCATATAGAAAGGTTCAAATTTGACTTCCACTACCACTACTTGATCTGGCAGTTGCATCCGATTGTTTGATTGGTTAATAGTTAAT